TTTCTTGAGGAAAGAGTGAGGCAACAGGCTGGTGAAGCATCAGATGTCAAAATTCCTTGGACACACACACGAAATAATAGCAAATTTTTCTTGACCGTTTTCTTGAGAGCTGCATACAGGCCTTCAACTAGACTACCATGGTGTTTGCATCTTCACTATCTTCCCTCTAATGTCAAATAATCTATGTACATGGGCTTTGGTACTGTATCAATCTTATTTGTCTTTCCTTTCACAGTTTTAGGGTGGGTTTCTCAATGTCTGGTCAACACTAACAAAATTTTATGGAGTCGACCACGCCAATAACGATGTTTAACCTGCAGTTAGTATTAACCAGACATTGAGTTACCGGGCCTAAATCGCAAATATAGTTAATCTTCCATTGCTAAATTGTTCTACAGTGATACATCGATAATTTTGTTGAAGTTTCGTTGTATTTATATAGCCTTATTCATAAAAAATAAAGTAGCGTTACAAAAGGTTTATAAATTGAAAAATGTATGAAAACATTAATTCATAAAGCTTTTTAAACCTACTTTATTTTTTATGAATTAGGCCAATAGAATATCAAAACCTCGCTACAGCGAAAAATACTAAGTTATAATAAAAAAAAACATAACTATATTTTAATTTTAATCGGCTTCAATAAAAGCAGGAGGCTTTCATTTCGTTGGAATATTTTTTTGTGTATGTTACCGCATAACTTTGGACCATGTTAACCGATTTCTATAATTCTTTTTTTTTTAATGAAAGGTGGTACCTCAGAGGTGATCCTATACTAATTTAGATCCGATCATGGGATCATGCAGAAATTAACGGTACTCTTAAATGTTTATATGAGAACTAAAGTGGGTTTTGTTTTTTGCTTAAAAGTTACTTGTTTTATAATAAGACCCTAACCGTCAACATATTCAGAATTCGTTATGTAGAGGCTTTTGAGGTGGAGACTTCGTTATACATATTCATAGAGGCTTTTGCTAACGGGACTTTAACCGTCAATATATTCCGAAGGTTTTCATGCTGAAAATTTCTCCGTTATATCTATGGAGCATTTTTGCGCAGGATATATTGAGTTTTTCGTTTTATCAAGTTTCGTTATATTGAGGTTTCATTGTAACAAGAAATTATTTTAGGCATTCGCATATGTATGTCACGTTCCCGCTTGTAAGTGGCAGAAGAATAATTCACCGTATCTTTGAATACAGCATCTCGGAAAATCTGTTTAAACGCAGTTCGTCGTTCCCTTATGTTCCTTTTGTGGACACGGGATCTAATTGTAGGCGCAGCTGGAAAACTCTTGTGTTTTAACTACCTTAAGTGTGTATGGAAATTTGAGCTTTGCAGGTTTCTACCTTCTTTTATCCTATCCTTGTCTTATATTCGTCCTATCTTATTCCATCCTATACATTTTAATCCTATTCGATCCTTTCTTATCCTGTCCTATCCTATCCCATCATAATTATCATCTACTGTCCAATTACGTTCATTTCATCAGTTTCAAATTTTTCTTCTTATCCTCACGTACACTGCCATTTTGTACTATTTTAGCCCAGTTACGCTCTACACAGGCGAATCCCCTTATGAAAAAATGAAACTAAAGAAAGCCCAACAACGTCTACTTAAACAATATCTAACAGAGCCAAGACGCGAAGGGCGTAAAAAGGATGCGTGTCAAGATTTCTAAGGGCCGTTTGCACCACATCTATGTAACACTAACTGGAGGTACATCCCTCACTTAAGCACATCGACTGCTTTATCGATCATATGTTATATGCTGGGTATCGATAATGTGCCAGTTCTTGGTTCTGTTCCTAAACAAAATTACGCAACAAATTTAAAAGGAATAAAATTATGCATTCAAAACTGTAATATAAGTAACTGCTTTTATTATTCATCCATTTCATACTTAAAATTTTGTATTATTGATAATATTATTTGAAAATTTTTAAATGAGCTAACTTGGCGTGACACAGTACATTTTTTTTGCAAAAGTGTCAAAGGACAAAGCATTGAAATTACAAGTATTTACAAGTTTTCTACCTTGACCTTTGACACTCTCGCAAAAATTAGTTATGTGGATCGTTGTACTGTACACAGATCAGCCGAAATTGGCTCGAAAATTTTTAAAAGCTTGAAAATCAAATTTGCACATAAGTATACAAACGAACACACATACAAGAGTAACACAACANAACAAAAAAAAAAAAATTAAAACCGCAGGATACGTCGCAAACGCTAGATCTTTGTTTCGTTATCCAGAAAATCTTGCACAAACTTCGAAACACCAATACTAAAATCTTCCTCGATCATGCCGACAATGTCGCTGGATAGCTTGTGAGCGAGTCTGTGTGTAAAGGAAATAAAAACAATTTAAATCAAATATGTACATAAATCCAAAAATCTGCAAATAAAATTTTACTTTGAGAACACGCTCCATGGCTGATTGAAATTGGGATTTGCATAAAAACGATTTTTGCTGCATAAATGCAAGAATTGGTCACGCTCGGCAATGAGTTCCTCAATGCGCAGGTCTTTCTTTTGTTTTGTTTTTTGCCGAGGACTGACATTCCAGAGCGTGCAGGGTGGAACAACTGGTGCAATGTTTTTAGACTTCATTTCGTTTTCCACTATTTCCGTTGGCGGCTTGCAATCGAGATCACTCGCATCATTGCTTTCTTCGCCAGAGTTCTCATCTATCCAATCGTTAGTTTCCGGTTTCTTCG